AAAATCAGCTAAATCCAGTGCTGGTGCAGGTATGCTTTTACGATAACTTATGCTCAATCCAGATGAAGTGCCAGTTTCAGGATGTATGTTAATGCAAACAAATTCTGATCTGGTAGCGTGCGATAGAAAAGCACAGAATGATGTGTTGCTTATTTTACGTAATGCGCTGCTTTGAGCTAATGAAAATTTTAAATTATAATTACAATCAATATACGCGTTGTGCAAGCGGAGTGTTAAAACTTACGTCCTTGTATACGAGTTCTGTTATTGTCGCGTACACAATCGATAGAACAAACGCATTGAAAATTCGTTGTTGACCACACACGCAATTGATCGTCACGATATAATGCAAGTAAGTATATCTGACCATTGATGTAACTAAATACAACCGAATTTGCATAGTTGGCATCCGAAAAATCGTTTTTGCCGCTATCAAATTCAAAACCATTTTCATAAAAAAGATACATATGAATTAAGTTTTACGCAGAAGACACTCACGTGAAAGCGTTTTTCAAATTCGAGAATAGCCGAGGCATTATATTGTTCTCCTTTAATGACTGAGAAGTGGTATCACCAGTCTCGCAATTCATTACGAACAACATTAGTTCTGATTGACAAGCTAATGCAAAGTATGCATCATCACCACTCGGTGATAAAAAGCTGGTAGCTGCGTGAGGCGCTGGACTTGAGGCTGCATTCTGTGAATCAATGACATAGAAACTGCTTGGATCGCGCACAGACGAGTTATTAGCTTCATGAAAAATGGAAAATTTTTCCGACTCATTAAAGTCTATAGAAATTCCAACATTTTTTGATGACAAATTGCTTGATCCATTCTGTGCGCCTATTTTATTGCCACTACCTTCAGCCAACGTATCGGGATGTGGAAACTTTAGATGGTGGAGACTGCAAACCGTCGTCACAAGAAGCGTGACATAGCCATCTTGCTCACTTATACAAACATTTAGAACTGGAGTGTCAGAAAACTTGTAGCGAACATTGTTTTTGTACAAAGTGAAGTCCAAAGAAACTTCGGACAGTTCCAGTACATCTTGATAAGTGCGCCTATAATGTGGAGTTAATAAAACGTTTTAGCACAAATCTTATTTTGTATTACCAATAAATGAAACGATTGCGATTGTGGTTCAATCGCACGTTTTGATAACAATATCCTCCAGCTTTTTCCGCAACTTTTATGTCCTGCAATGTACTCTGCGTTGCACCTGAAATATATATATGTACATATGTATGTATGTAAATGACTATTCATCAGACAGTTCATTACCAGTATTTAACTGAATTTCAGTCCACTCCTCTTGACACGAAGTGTCAGGTAAAACCTCACGATAAAATAAACATCCAGCATCCATTCTCCCTATCAATCTTAATATTATTAACACACAATACTTGAATTTATTCAACAATTTTTCGTCTACACATATTCTTCGATGCCGCAATCTAGTGGTGGCAAACTATCGATTGTTTTGGTTTTTTTTCACTACAACGATTAAGCCCAAAATACTGTTACGATTATCCTTGACACCTCGTCCGGATTTCCCAAATCATTCGGTTCGTATTGCTGGATTGTTAAATAAATGCTAACGATGGGTACTGTTTATGAATTTGTACAATTTTGGGTTGCTGTGTCCAAACGCGTGAATCGAATCAAAAAACTTTTACACAAACTTGTAGACAACAGTTCACGCTTTATTACAAAAATTTAATTTACTAAATCTGTGCACTAATTTAACAATAATGTCGGTTGGAAATATGGTATTTGTTGCAAATTTTTGTTATAAATTTGTATATACATTTTTAAATACAAGATATTTTTATAAAACACCCAGTAACCAAAATAGACATCACTGGTGCGGTAGCCCCAGGTTTACCACACAGGAAGGGAACTCTAGTTACCTCATCCTTTCCCAAGGTTACATCACTGGGGCGGTAGCCTAAGTTATGTCACACAGAAAGGAGAATTTTACGTAGTAAGGGTTATAATCCCTAAGCGCGGCCGAAGGCCGCCTACGCAGAAGGGTGTTCTCTGCAAAAGGTGTTCAGCCCCCCTTCTTCGGACGCAAGTTTAACTTTGTTTTTTCCTTGCAAAAAATCTAAAATTCCCCTATTTTCAAACAGCTCTCCAGAGGTCTGTGGGAGGGGTTGGGGGGGATGACTTTTCATAAAGCGGCGTCAACCCTCTTTCGTTTAGGGGGATTTGTGGGGCCCACACCCCCTCCCCCTCCGCCCACACCCGTCAATCGTTGTACGAATAGCTAAACATTTCCCCTAACGATGACCAAATTGTAGTACAACTGACCTTATTTACAACAAAAAATTTACAATACTCGCTTATACAGTAAAAACACTTAAAGCAATAACAACGCTTTACTAAACTTGTTAACACAATTAAGCTTATAGCTTGCTTATTCTCAACTCGCTTCTCTGCTCACTTTACTTGTAGCTTGCTGACTTGTAACTCACTCCGGTGTCTGGTGGCGCCCTTATATACCTGCGCACGCACTCCTGCCAACTCTAGAACGTTCTGAAGTTCCATGATGCAATAATACAAGGTGTTATCAGTTGGCAACCTCTCGCTCTAATTCAGCCATATTGACTACCTTAGGTGAGACAGTGTTACTTCTTTTACTATTCTTTGCCCATTAATATAGTTGAATGCTTTTTATTTTTTCTAGGTATACACACTTTGTTTTCTTGAAAAGGTATTTTATCTTATTTTATTTCATTTCATAACGAATATACTATAAAAAAAGCAAATTTTGTTAAGGAGAAAATGTGAAATTTTATATTTTTCCCCCATATGGGGATTCATTTCTTCCCGTTTTTCTTCTCA